CGTTGCCTTGGCTTGCGGGCTGTATTGTCTCTCTGGGCAGCCTGCGGGGTGTAGCGCGTCAGCAGCAGCGGGAGGAGAGGAGGCAATATGGCGCCTGCCGCATGGCCTCGGGGTCTGTGCACACGGAGTCCCTGAGAGAGTTGCGGGTCTCGTGCGCGTCCGGCCTACAGCGTCACCTGCAGCTGGCTGGCGGCCGTCTCTGGGCTAGGTATCCGCCAGGGTCTCCCACCCCTGTGGGACGCCCACCAGCAGTCCCAAAGTGCAGGGGAGGGGAAGGTGATTTATCCACCTACCCTTCCCGCTGGTCTCCGCGGCTGGCTTGCCGGCCCGTCTCAGCTTCTAGTTTCTCCGCAGCCTCCTCCCGTGGAGTCTTCCGGGGTCTCAGCGTACCCGCCCGTCCTCCAGCCTCTCTCCCTTGGTCATGCAGTCTGCTGTATGCTCTCCTTCTTGCTTCTTTTTTCTAGTTTCTGCTAGAATCTGTCTTTTCTGCAGAGACACTCTTTCTGGCGGTGTTTCTCGTCCACCATCTTGATCCTTCTCCCAAACTGATTCTTAATGAAAAACAATTCTACATTATTTCTAGGTAACAATTTATATCCCATTTGGTGCTACTTAATTTTTTTAATTGCTAAATAATAAAAGGTTTTATAACATATTAGTAATTACTAGACAAATAATTATAATCTACCTTTCTAGTTAGGTGAGATTTAAACCTCCAATATCTTCAGCTTTTAATACTCACCAGCATCTTAGTTAATTCACCTATATTTTATGCTTACACATGACATTGCACATTCCTCTTTCTAAATATCTTATCTATGAAGCCATACTCTCTTGTCTACCTAAGTACTGGACAGGTGTCAAGGCCCAGCCTTGATTCCTACTTAAGCACAGAGCCTTCCGTTTATTTATTTACTTGATTATTTAATTATTTTTTTGTTTAGAAACAGGGTCTTGCTCTGTCATCCAGGCTGGAATGCAGTGGCTCAGTGATAGCCCACTGCAACCTCCAGCTCCTGGGCTTGAGTATCCTCCTGCCTCAGCCTCCCGAGTATTTGGGACTACAGGCATGCGCCACCATGCCCAGCTAAATTTTTAATTCTTTGTAAAAGTGAGATCTGTGTTGCCTAGACTGGTCTCGAATTCCTAGGCTCAAGCAATCCTCCCTCCTCCCACCCAGCCTCCGAAAGTGCTGAGATTACAGGTGTGAGCCACTGCACCATACCTCCATTTATTGATTATGTATTGTATACCAGGCACCTCAACCTCATCTCCTAGCACTGTCTTCCCCTAACCCCTGATTCTACTCCAGCCATAGTGACACCTTTCTTGCTGCCCCATCTTAGAGCCTGTGCACTCACTGCTCCCTCCAGAAATACTTTTCCCCAGATAGCCACATGGCTGGCTCTCTTGACTCCTTCAGGTCTCTGGACAAATGAAACTTAGAGGCCCTTCCCTGACCACCCTTCGTAAAAAAGCAGTACCTCTGCTCCCCAGCCCAGCACTATTTCTCCCATTTACTCTACTTCATTTTTCTCTGTAGCACTTCTCAGCACCTGATAATCTATATTTATCCATTTTTCTCTCTCTTTTCCGTAATACAAGCTCTATAAGGCAGGGGCTTTGTTTTTGTTATATTCTCAACTCTTAAAACAGCATGTGGTATAGGTTAGAGTCTCAAATATTTGGGAGATTCCTTGTTTACCAACTGTTGTGCCATGGTTTCTCTCTTCCTTTGTTCTTTGGCTAAAATTTATCAATCTTTTTTTTAAAAAACTTCAAGTGGGCCGGGCGCTGTGGCTCACGCCTGTAATCCTAGCTCTTGGGAGGCCGAGGCGGGCGGATTGCTCAAGGTCAGGAGTTCAAAAAAAACCAGCCTGAGCAAGAGCGAGACCCCGTCTCTACTATAAATAGAAAGAAATTAATTGGCCAACTGATATATATATAAAAAATTAGCCAGGCATGGTGGCGCATGCCTGTAGTCCCAGCTACTTGAGAGGCTGAGGCAGAAGGATTGCTTGAGCCCAGCAGTTTGAGGTTGCTGTGAGCTAGGCTGATGCCACGGCACTCAACTCTAGCCAGGGCAACAAAGTGAGACTCTGTCTCAAAAAAAAAAAGATAGGTTTAATTTCATCCACCAAATTTAACAACATATTTTTAGTCTGATTTCCTTTATAGAATTTACTGATATTATAAAGAGGAAATAAAGAGGCAGAATAACAGTTGGAGGACTAAGTTCTAGACCTGGTCTTGCCACTCTGTAACTGGTCAAGAGATTTGTCGCCTCATTCCCACCTTCTATCAAGGGAAAACCTCAGTGTAGGTTATCTCTAAAGCTCCAAGTATTTATAATTCTATGAGATTTGACTTAGATAAAATTATTAATAATTCTTGGAGGGGAATATAACCATCAATTTCTAAAATAGCCCTGTAGAACTTTTCAGTGACAATGGTGAATGTTGTAGGCTTGAAATCACAAGTTTGAAAAAATCATGTTTAAACATTGCCTATTTAGAAAGACCTTTGCATGATGCAGAGATTGTATAGGCTTCTTCCCAGTATAGATTAGGATATTAAGATGTGTGAGGCAGCAGCAGTCTAGTATGTTATATATCTAGATTCCATTTCCTATTTTATTTGTTTATTTGTTCATTTATTTATTTTGGTTACACTGAGTAATATTCCCAAGAGGTCCAGATAGGAATTTGCTAAAATCAGTAAGAGAGAAGTGTAGAGACAAAGATACAAACGTTTGTAGTACATGTCTGTTTTAAACTGTATCTCCTGTTTCAAAGAGCTAATGAAATTAAATGACAGGGGCTAAGAATAAAGGTTCTTGAGCCAGCTTCTCCCTATGTGGCCTATGCAAGTTTTCTTTGGACCTTAATTTTATCATCTATAACATGGAAACAGTAACAGTACCCACCTCATAGGACTGTTGTGAGGATTAAATGAGTTAATGCATTTACCACACATAGATCTATTTCTCAAGTATAGTGAGCATTCAAATGTTAGCCATTTTTAATGTATATGGTGATGACTATGATTATTAGAGTACATTTATAATTAGAGGATTGTTTTTGCAGTAGGGAAATTTTAGAATTAGTAACAGGTTGAGGTACCTGAGAATATTATGTGATAAACTGAATACATTAATCCACACCTTTAAGATGATCTCAATTCTGTTGTATTTATTCCCATTTAGAGTGATCCAATTACAATAAATGGGACTTTTTTGTTTTGTTTGCTTGTTGTTCCAATATTTTAAATGGTCATAGGGTTATTTCAGTGAAGAGCAGTTAAGAGCCTTGAGTAATCACAGACAAATGTTGAATGATAAGAAACAAGCACAGATCCAGTCGGAATTCAGGAAGGCCATGGAATCTGCTGAACAAGACAAACAAGGTTTATCAAGGGATGTTACAACTGTGTGGAAGTTGCGTGTTGTAAGCTATGCAAAAAAGGAAAAAGATTCAGGTCAGTGTGTAAATGTTTTGTTTTTATCACTTTTGTTAAGTTAAAAAGTAATCTGATTAATAAAATGATTATAAATGCTAGATAAAGTATAAAGTTAGTTTATATCAGGGGAGCAAAATGGACTACCAGTGCCCACAAAGTGATAATACAATCCTTACTCTTTATTATCTGTTTTGATTTTTAGACAAGAATTTTAATGATTATCAATTCTTCCCATTGCATCTTTTTCATATTTCTCTAAACAGTTATATTGAGTGTCTGGCGTCCATCATCAGATTTATATTCCCTGTTAACAGAAGGAAAGAGATACAGAATCTATCATCTTGCAACATCAAAATCTAAAAGTAAATCTAAAAAAGCTAACATACAGTTAGCAGCAACAAAAAAAACTCAGTATCAACAACTACCGGTACAAACCTTTTCATTATAATTAATAATTATAATTTTTTGCCTTTTTTATTATAATTTTTCAATTTTGATAAATGTATCTTAAGTTACAGACATTCCAAATATTGAATGGTTTGTTTTTTATAGGCTTCAGATGAAATCTTATTCCAGGTTTACCAGCCAAGGGAGCCCCTTCACTTCAACAGATTATTAGATCCAGACTTTCAGCCACCTTGTTCTGAGGTGGACCTAATAGGATTTATAGTTTCCGTTGTGAAAAAAACAGGTAATGTACAGTGTATTTAATTGTAGCTTTTTATTGATTCTTTTAAAAAACATTGTCTTTTAAAATTTGTCTTCCTTAGGATTAGTTGGACCTACCAGCTGGCAAATTTCTAACGAGTGATTTGAAAGTAAGCTTCTCTTAACAAACTGATTCTTTTTTTTTTTGAGACAGAGCCTCACTGTGTTGTGTGGGCTAGAATGCCATGGCATCAGCCTAGCTCACAGCAACCTCAAACTCCTGGGCTCAAGCGATCCTCCTGCCTCAGCCTCCTGAGTAGCGGGGACTACAGGCACATGCCACCATGCCCAGCTATTTTTTTTTATACTTTTAGTTGTTTGGCTAATTTCTTTCTATTTATAGTAGAGATGGGGTCTCGCTCTTGCTCAGGCTGGTCTCGAACTCCTGAGCTCAAGCAATCCTCCCACCTCAGCCTCCCAGAGTGCTAGGATTACAGGCGTGAGCCACTGCACCTGGCCCAACAAACTGATTTTTTTTTATATATATAGTTTTAGTTGGCCAGTTAATTTCTTTCTATTTTTTATTTATTTATTTATTTTTTTATTTCAGCATATTATGGGAGTACTGATTTAAGGTTTCAATAAATGCCCATTTCCCCCTCCCCCACAAGTGTGAGTCTCCAGCATGACATCCCCAGATGGTGCACATCTCACTCATTATATATGTGTATACCGCCCCCCTCCCCCTGCCCAATATACCTATTACTGTAGTACCTATGTGACCACTTAGGTGCTGTTCAGTTAATAGCAATTTGCTGGTGAGTATATGTGGTGCTTGTTTTTCCATTCTTGGAAACTTCACTTAATAGTATGGTTCCAGCTCTAACCAGGAAAATATAAGATGTGCTATATCACCATTGTTTCTTAGAGCTGAATAGTACTCCATGGTATACATATACACATTTTATTAATCATTCTTGGATTGGATGGCGCTTGGGCTGTTCCAACAGCCTTTGCCAATTATGAATTGTGCTGCTATAAACTTCAAGTGCAGGTGTCTTTTTTTGTAGAGTGTCATTGGATCTTTTGGGTAGATGCCCAGCAATGGGATTGCTGGATCAAATGGTAGATTCACTTGTATCTCTTTAAGGTATCTCCATATTGCTTTCCACAGAGGTTGAACTAATTTGCATCCACCAGCAGTGTAGGAGTATAGAATTTTTTTATTTCCATCTTGATTTCTTCATTTATGAAGTAATCATTTAGTAGGAGGTTGTTTAATTTCACGTTTGTGTAGAAATGTGAGTTTCTGTTAGAGTTGATTTCTACTTTTATTCCACTGTGATCTGAGAAGGTACATGGTATGATTTCTATTTTTTTAAATTTCTTGAGATTTACTTTGTGTCCTAGGATATGATCAATCTTAGAGAATGTCCCGTGAGCTGATGAGAAGAACGTACATTCAGTGGATTTTGGGTTGAATGTCCTGTAGATGTCAGTCAGACCCAGTTGTTCCAAGGTTTTGTTTAAGTCCATTATTTCTTTATTAATTTTCCTGTTTGGAGGATCTGTCTTGTGCCATCAGTGGGGTGTTGAAATC